GGGGCACTCTGCTTGGGAAGCATTTGAGAGCAGCCACACGCTGCCTCCATTCGCTCACATTTCTTTTCCATGGTGAGGTAAGGTAATCCCTTCCCACACCCCATTCCCACCTTCCTTCCTTCTCCACTGATCGTGTCTCAATACCAATGTGGGACTTATAGATCTAAGGGACAATAACCCATCCCCTCCCCAAGGGCTGGAGGCTGCTCAGCAAGTGGGAAACACGACTGATGGTCCTGCCCCTGGCTGGAAGAGGCCAAGGATGGGTCTGTAAAAGGGAAAACACTCTGTATGGTGAGAAAACGGGAGAGGGATGCAGTGAAAGGGCAGCACACAAACATCACCCCAGGATGAAGAGAGGGGGATTTGCTGCCCGTTCCCTGTCTTCAGTCCCATAACCCGGCTCCTCTTCCAGCCCAGTCCCGGCGGTCCTGCCCCCATCCCCTGCCCTCAGCACGGCCCTACCTTCACAGGACGGGGCGCACTGCTTGGGGTGCTGCCCGCAGACCGTGCTGCAGTTGATGCAGTTTTTCAGGAGCTTGTCGTAGTAGAAGCCGGGTTTCCTGTTGCAGTCCATGGATTCTGTACACGGGAGGGAGACAACACGGAATCCTGAGCACATCCTCCTCCTCCTCCCCTGCCATGTGAGCATGAGGCTCCCAAACCACCATCCCACCACCCCCAGTGCCTGGGGCAGCTCTGAACAAGCTCCAATGGGCGCTGCTGGTGTTGATGGCATCTCCAGGGCTCACAGGGGAAGAGATCCATGGGATCTACGGTGCTGCTTGGCTGTATAAGGGATGCTGGGGTGATGCAGCCGGACATGCAGCTGTACCCACCTGCAGCTCCCGCTCACTCCTCTTAGGCCTGGCTCAGCATCAGGGATGTCATCTCCTATTCTCCATGGGGAGACGTGACTTCTCACCGCGCATAGGGCTGGGTCCCCTCTGCCCTAGGACAGGGTGCAGCAGCCCCAGGCTGCGTCTGGCTGGGTTGGGAAGGGGCCGTGCACAGGCTGAGCTCAGGGTTTGGGTGCAAAGTGCATCTGTCTTGTCTCTTCCTCCCTGCCTGTTATCACTGCACCTTGGTGCCTGCCCCAGCACAGCAAACTACGGGTTGAGTTTATCGTTGTCTGCATCAACTCAACCTGCTGTATCTTGAGGACATAGACTGGTTTGGGTGGGACAGGACCTTCAAGATGGTCTAGTTCCAAGCCCTAAAGTCCTGCCTTTGGAGGGTGCAGTGGGGGATACAAGTTGTGATGCAGCTCTGGGAGCGCTCCCTGTGACCCCGCAAAGGAGCAATACAGCGACAGGGACAACCTGAACCTGGTCCGTGCTGAGCTGCTGCCCTCCCACCGCTGGGGAGCTGTAACATTCCGTGTTGGGTTGGCTCAGAGCCTGCCCTGGGTCCATCCCAGTGCCGAAGCCCAGCCCCATCAGTGCCCTGGGCGCAGGGGGCCGCACTCACCGCACAGAGCCGCGCACCTCCTCACGGCGGGGGGCCCCACACACAAGGCGCCGGGAGGGGGACG